TTTTGCTTGATTATCAAAATAATGATACAGAAATATCGTTGGATCGTTGGTAAATAAAATTCTTTTTACCGCGCGAATACAAATTAAAATTCGAGAGAAATATATCGATATCAAAAATTAGAAATAAATAAATTGGAAAGGAGGATTTTTGTTGAAAGTTCTCTCGAGGGGGGAGATGCATAAAATATTACGCATATCAGCGTATGAATGAAAACTTTTGATCAATTTACGAACGAAAACGGAACAACGAGCAGTTACGTCGTTTCTGAAGGAACAACTGCTAATAATGTGGTTAATCAGTGGTCGGCTCTGCACGACCATCGCTTACGTGTCATCGGCGTCGAACAAAGCCTGGCCGACGCTAATTTCGTGCGTATACCGCCCACCAGAACAGGTAGAATCTGATGGACATAATATTTCCTGCTGACCGAACATGGCCAAGCTTGATGGAATCCGGGATTGGACGCACTTGTCTCCCTGATCAAATTGAAATTTCGGGCCAGAAAACGTATCTCTCCCTAATATCTCCAATAAAAATCCGAAAACTAAATTCCGATCCCTCTTTTAAATCACTTCTCGAATTTAATATTATGTAAATTATACATAAATATATATGTACGTATTTTTTTATATATAAAGGAAACAAGAAATCAAATTAAATTATATTAAATTTTACTCTTGATTGATTAATAAAAACTATTGTTTCAGATCGAATTGAATTGTTTGTAAATCGCGAAATCTTTTAAAAAAAATTTTAAATAATGAATAAACATAACGGAGGATGTTAACGTATTCGTAGGAAACTGATATAATATATCTATCGCGGTTCTGAAAGCAAATTTGGCGTCTATACGTGTAACCATGCGGCATCTCATCTCTCTACATCCGGTGGAAATGCGGCATGGAATCTGGAGTTGAGCAATAGTTACAGAGCAAGTTGTTAGGGTTAGATAGTTGAATCAACATACAAAGCGTCATTGATCCGCTCGTGTTCACAGAGGTTGAAACATATGTACAATATATATACTCGCACGAGTGTTCCGCAGGATAAAGCAAACACGCGCCACGCTCGTTTTCTCCCGGTTTCTAACTCCTTTGATCGTGTTTGTCTTCGATGTAATTTAACATTATTTACACGGCGAATCAAAAGTTGTACGGATGTATTCGGCACAAGTGCTCTACTTGCCAATTCTCCAATTCTGAAAGGAAATTTTTATCGAACCGATGCCAAAAAGACATATATATGTATATATAGAATTCTCGTTGGATTTCGAAATTTGAAATTTGAACGAGGATATTTCAACTTTTTGAAACAGTTGAATCGAATATTTATCTTATCCATTTTTTCTTCAAATAAAAATTTAAAATATAAAGAATATTTCCATTTGAAATGCGATAAAATATCTATTTGTAAGAATCGTTGGTCTAGAAATGAATATCTCTTATTTCCTCCAAACCGGATAACACGAATTCAAAATTCAGAGAATATTTTAATTCGCGATAATAAAATACATATTTACAAGGGTATAACTTTCTCGAAACCGTAATTTATAGAATATTTCAACTCGAAATGCGACACAAAGCGTCTTTACTGTTCCAAACAGATTGAGAACGGAATGAATGAAAAGAAGAGAAAAGGAAAAAAAAAAGTACAATGTACGAGAAATCACTTCCACAACCCCCTTCTCTCTCCCCAGAAGCGACGTATATATACATATATTTTGCGCGAAACACATGTTAGCGACTGGAAAACAACCCTCTCCTTCCACCCCCGTGGCCCGATGGAGGGAAAAGTTATTCGGAGGACGAGGTCGTAAGCAGATAAACGAAACAGCGCCGAGTGGAAATCACGATCTGACCGTGGCTGTGAAAATGTGTTTACAGCATGTTAGGCGGTCGATCATGCGTCAATGATGCGCGGGGGCGCCTCCGACACCCCCGCTTCTTTGACGTTCCATTATGCAAAATCGTCTTCGTGGTCGTTCCCAAAGCGAAATGCCGCGCGACGCGTGCTCGATTTCACGTGAATTCGCGCCGATACGCGACAGACAGAATCGTGGACGCCAACAACCGTGAACGAACGAACAAATTTTTAGGGAGAGAGGAGGAACGGCGAAAAATCGCGAAAAATCGATCGATCGCGTATGAAACTCTCAATTTTCAATTTTTCAATTTTTAAATCGTGATTGATTAAGCCAAAAGTTCGAATTTCCCGGCGAAACTTTATAATTATGGGTATATGATTTAGATTTTAAAAAACTGTGTTTATCTTATAACGATATCCAAAGTGTAAATGTACGATTTATAACGTTGGAAGGAGTAAAGCTAACGAGCTCCTTCGTAATATGGGTAAAAATTTGCATAAATATCGGCAATCTATCGACGAACATTCAAACGTTCGTTCGAATGATCAATTATTTCAATTTGTAACGAGATCGATACTCGTTCATACGAAGATACGAAGTTATAAATAATATATTTCTATTGGCTACAGTTTGAATGGAAAAAGCTAGAAAAGGTGAAAGGAACAGTTTCGACTTTACGTTCCAACAAGCGTTAAATGGACGTGTGTTTTAAGCGAAAGAAGGGGACGAAAGAAGGATTGATTATTACGACGATCCTTGTAGGAACTTTATTTGCTGGTTATTAAATATTCAACGTTTGCGTTGGACAATCGTGAAAGATTAATACAGAAAACGGCACAAAGGAGAGGAAAAAAGATAAAAGTATAATATTTTGTGTTAATGAATTGCTTGGAAATTGCTTCTTTCGAACGAAGAAAAAAAAAAAAACAGAAAAAGAGAAAAGAAAAAAAGAAACTTCGAAGATCGTTTAATATCGAGAGAATTATATAACCTCGAACAGACAGAAGACGCAGAAAGTGAAACAACGTCGTATTTTTAGAGCTGCTTTATCGTTGTTGGATTAAACGACATACGTTCGAATATCAAAATCGTAATTTCCTCCACAAAGATACGATGATCTTTCTTTTTTTCCTTTCTTTCTTCTTTTTTATCCTCTCGAAAAACGTTCTCGAACACGATAATTTATCACGATTATTATCTAACCTAACCACGAATTAATTCTCGATTAAAAAATAATAATAACTCCCTTTCTCTCTCTTTCTCCTCTTTTTCTCGCGTCGCAGAAACGTAATACGAATAGAATAGCCTGTTTTTCGAGAAAGAAGGGGAAAAAGGAAAGTATGGCGTGGATGGAGGGTTGTGAGGGATGCGCGCGTAGAAAGCTGAGAAATCGTACGAGTATTCGCGGGAGAGAGGTGCAGGATGACGGATGGAGGGCAGGAAGCGACACAGGAACCGGAACCCATTACTCCAGATAACAACTTCCCTAAGGCTTCCTTTCCTTCTTCAACATCCACTGATAAACCCTCTATATACACACAATCTCTAGTGCACTCGATCCTTACAGCACGAATCCGGAAATTTGCCACTTCTGTTGCCATTTTGCTCGGATACCGTGCAACTGGTGGCCCAACTTGTAACCCCGGTATGCCAACTGAACCTTGACCGCTTCCAAGTGAAAATTGTATCGACCATGTATTTTGCAATATAATACATATATCGTATATCGTTGCGTTGGAGAAACGCAAGACGATTTTATCAAACAATTGATAATTCACAATTTGGTAATTTAAGTCGCGGGATGTATGATATGGATTACAAATGATACGATTTTCAATTAAAATTGGTATTGATCCGCGAATATTGATTCGTTATCTTGCGGTTATTGGATGATTACTTGCTAAATTTGTGGTCGTCCGGGCATTCAGATATTCCATACTTGTTAATGATTATTTTGTTTGCTCGGTGAAAGTATTATTTGCAACAAGTGTTATGAGATTATGCCCGCGATAAAATGTATCGATGATCATTCAAATATTTCGCGATATACACGAATAATCTCGTAAAAACTTTGATATTTTTCAAGGAGATCGCTTCCGATTCTGATGAAATTTCACAAGATATTGCTTTGTTCGTATCAAGCAATATACAAATATACAAATATATCCTATTAATTCTATTCAATGCATTCAATCTCTATTAATTTCTTTCCGAATAATTTTCTCTCGACGTAATAATCCTACGATAAAATAAAAACATCACGGAGTATGTACGTATCGTTTTATCGGCGATTGTACGATTCAAAACCGTTCGACTTAATCGAAAGATGTTGGAAAAGTGAAAGCGAACTCTCAAATTGATCTCAAACGGGCGGAGAAATATTTCGAAATCGCGGCGCGTTAAATCACGAGTTTTTCAAAAAGGAGAAAAAAGGGTTGCGGATAAATTAAACGTCGACAATCAAGAGTCTCGTCCGACCAACGTTCCAACCAAAAAGGCGGGAAAAGTGAAAGTGAAATTCTCCTGCCTCGGTTCGATCCGAGAAAACGGAGAGATCGATTTACGACGAGATACGCGGCGCGAGTTAATATTATTAAACTCGATTTTCATACGCGATTTTGAAAAGCGTTGCGGATGGATAAGCGATAGGTGGAGGGTGAATTGGATGTGCGGTGTGACGGACATGGGAGGCGTGAAGAGAAGATTCAGGTTGAAATGGAAATGGGCGTCGCGGTGGTAGGGAAACCACCGACGCCGCCACCGTTGCTAAATGGGCTCCGAGCGGGTTACCCAACTGTTGCGCCTTCATCAGAAATTTATGCAGAATCCTGGGTTAACCGTCCCGGCCAATCAGCTTTGTAACGGAGCCCAAGTCGTATCGGCGAGGGAACGAAGCCGAGAGGGGCTCTGATTTAGTAAAAAGCCTTTAATATTTTCCACCCTCCCTCTACACGTCCTCACGATTTAATAAATATATATATATATATATACATATCGTATGTGAACGTTCCAGAGTTGGAAAGATTTCTTTTTAACGTAGGAATCGTAGGATATTGTTTCGATCGAATAACGAAGATTTAAGAATCTATCGTCCAAATGAATGAAAAATAGTTTAACGAAAGAGATGTAACTCACCGACGAGGGCCAGAAGCACCGTGAGCAGGGACGCAGCAGGGAACGTAACCGTTAAGTTGAACTCCAACATTTGAAGCAGATCCACTGAAACAAAGGGGAAAGAAGTATATTTCACGTGAAAAATAGACAAAGAGGTGTTCGTGCAGGCGGATATATTTTCGCCGCGTTGATATTTTCTAACTCTGAATCGAGGAAGAAAGGAAAGGAAGATGGGGGAAAGGTGAGGGGCGTTCGAGAGATTCAGCGTGTAAAAATGAAAAATATATGTATAATAATTTATTACATCCCCGTGGTATAGATGCACGGGCGATATTGTATCGGGATCTGTTATTCTCGACGACGAACCGTTCGAATTTAATATTTATTAGATACTCCGTGACGAAAAGTTGGCGTGCAAAAGGTTATTACGCAAGTTGTGGGCCGTGAAGAAATCGTGTCGCGTTCGACGAGTCGGTTCAAAGCTCAATAAGAATTAATTTTAAAACTTCCTGGATCTCGATTTAAGTTCTCGCAAACTTTCGATCGCCGCCCTGGGACGAGGTTTCGCTTTTCTTGTCTCTGCACTCGATCCATACGCAACCTTTCATTAATTTATTCCACTTTTTTCTCATATTTTTTCTTCCATAACCGCAACGATCGTTAAGTTATGAATAAAAATTTATAAAAATTTATAAAAATGTTGAAATTTTGTTTTGGAATTTTTTTTATTCGTAGGAAAATATTTTTGTTTTCTTTTTTTTTTTTTTTTTCACGAATGGATCGGAAAAGAATTGAAGCGTAGCAGATATTGTCTCTCTTGATGAAACGATGGAACAACGTTCTTCTCGTCGCAAACTCGAAACTCCCATTTTCCATATAAAAAAGTATCTTTGAAATTCAATCGAATACACGTGTATTCTGATTGGTTACTTTGCGTAACTAAATATTACTGATACAAACCGCTGCTACTTTGACTGGATTTCTCTAAACAACGTCACAGTTTCTAATGGGAACTTTTATTCATCGAAAAACAATTGCACGGAATAAAACGTGCACTCGATCGAATATCAAAGTAATCTCTTTTTGGAAAACGAAGCTTTCGTCGAAATTCTCGATATTCGTGGGAAACGTTTTAAACTTTAAACTTTGTCCTCCTTTCTGTTCTGAAAACACGATATCGATTCGTATTCTCAAGTTTATAATTTTACAACAGCTGCTTGAAATTGAAGATCGATATTCTTCTCTGTCTCTCGATCGAGAAAGATACGAGGAGAAGAAATCTCGGACTTGGAAAACAGCAGCGCGTCGAACGTTAAATTATTCAGGAATAAGTTTCATAAGGGTAGTAGTCTCTTCTGTAATTTAGTTGAACCGTGTTGAAGCAACGTAATTAAGAAGTTGAGTTTATTCCCAAACGACGCGGCGCACATGTCTTGTCTTCTTTATAACAACCATAGTGCTCGTCACTTACAAATTTTCCACCTTGTGCTGTTTCGATTTAATGAATTTTAGATTTCAAGATATCACCCACTAAAACCCACTTCCACCGCTTATTAAAACTCCCGAGTTCTCCGTCTTATCCTATATAATCTAAACTTCGCCCTACTGGAAAACGTGCATCGCGAAATTATTATTTTTTTTTTTTTTTCACGCTCGGTCGGGGCGAAATTTAGATACGAGACAAGATGCAAAGAAGAAAAGGATTTTCTATTTTTAATTAATCATTATGATTATTTGACGTATGCTTGAAACGAATCGTGCAAAACAACAAGAATCGCATAAAATGGAAAATGATGTAAAAAGTAAGGTAATAAATAATTCTCACGAAAGATAAAAATATACGCCCCTATTCGAATCATTTGAAATTTTCAAATGGAAATATGTAAAAAAACTATGTATTTTAAAAATTTGTGAAAATAAAGATTGTTTCGTAATACATCTCAAATTATTTTCTCGATAATCATGACTTTTACAGTATTATAAATATATTGCATAAGCAAAAAATTAATCCTGATATCGCAGAGCTTAAATGAGAAAAAGAATCGTTGAAAATTGATCAGGCACGAAATTTATTAAAAATTTAGAAAAATCAACGATAAAATTGGAATTTGCAGTCTTCCTTCATATTTCAAAGCAAAGATTAGATCGAGGTGAGAAAAGATTTAAAAAAAAAAAACGTAGAAAAGAAGAAATAGAGGAAATTTAAAGATGAATAAAAGATCGTGAATCGTAAGTTATAAAATAAATATGAAAAAAAGACAAGATGACTCGGATGATTCCTAAAGCTGTCTAAAAATTTATTTATTAACTTGGGAAAATTATTTTTCTTGCGTGCATAGAAATTTAAATTTACAAACTCGGCCTTTTTCCTTTTTCAATATATAATTCTCAATATATATATATATACATATATATATATATATATCTTCTTGGAAACAAGCGAATAGAAAAGAACGGGTTCATTGTCGTCTATTATCGGCTAATCGGCCAGGTACTTGTGTTATTCAAACAACGAAAGAGGTAGAAAGAAAAAAATTGTCCGTGAAAGACAATGATGTCATCGTAATTTTCCGGTTAACTATTGACTCATTCGATAGAAAAGATTAATCAGCGTTTCTATGACTGTTTAGAGAAGCCACGTGAAAAGTACTATCAGGTCAATGAACTCGAGGCTTTCTACTCGTGTTGCAATCAACACAAATGTGTTCATTAAGCTCATTATATCACGAAGGTGAGAACGAATTTTTTTTCTTTTTTTTTTTTTTTGTCGAAGAGAGATCGATATTTCAAATAAATAATTAATATTTATCTCTTCTATGAACGTTAACAAAGTTTGAATTTTCATTTTTGAAGAAGAAGAAAGAGACGTGAAAAATGAAAATTTTACCTGTGAAACACATCTCGAGACATTATGCATCTCGTATATATATATATTTTTTAAAGTTTATTTAAGAAAAGTACGCACAATTTTTTGAAAGAGAAATCAGCATTCTATAAATAATATCCGAAATATTTATCTCTGCGCGAATATTAATAAAATTTGAATTTTCACGGGGCATCAAAATATTAATCCAAATATTGACAATTATTGAATTGTTTGTTAACCCTCGAAACATCGTGTATCTACATTTTTTAAATTCCATTTTATTTGCGTATAATAAAAAAGATACGTAGATATTTTTTTTTTTTTTTTGAAAGAGAAATCATTGAAAAATTAATTTTAAAATCATAATTTTATCGAGACATCACGACGAACGCAATATCGAGCATCCGTTAAATCGATTTTTCATTCCTACTATTATCCAGAAAGAACTATAAACAATTTTCTTTTTTTTTTGCTCTTTTCTTCCTCACTCGAGCAAACAACTCGCTACTCTAACGCCCACACGAACAAACAACAGATGATTGACCGCTGCAGAGATTTCCTACAAAGATGTTTCGCAATTACAAGAATAATAAAAAGGAAGGAATAAGCGGAGGGGAAGGGACAGATGAGATAATAAACAACGATAATCCTCGCAAGAAGAACGGAGAGAACAATGAGGGGGAAAACAGTTTTAGACTCTGTTAGAAACGTGATTAAACTTCGCACGAGTAAACAGATCTAATACTTCGCACGAGTGATTAGATATAACCGGTTTGGTATCGTGTTTATTTTATTCGAGGTTAAAACATTATTTATGTGATGATGATGC